AATGCAATCACTGTAAGCTCGAGCAAAGATGGAAAGTTTGATTGAAATTGTGTGAAAGTGCGCGGAGGCCATTGTCGAGATTCCTCGAATGGCTCCAGCGAATCCACTGCACGGCTTGATAAACGAGAATGCCACTATTTCACCAACAACCCTAAGCCCCGAGGGTTTGTAAGCGCTGTAATCTTCAATTACCCCCGGACCTGGAGTAGCGAAACTGGCTCGTGATGTCCTGTACTAAGTCCCGCCGAACTTCATTACCAGATCCAATGGTTTGGCGAGAAGATGATCGATTGGATGATTCCTGGTAATCCAGTACGTCCTTCATTTGCAAATGGGACGCGGAATTTCCAATAGAACATATTTACCGTTAATTACTACCAGGATTTACGTACGGAAAGACGTTCGTCACAAGATGGAAGTACAGCGGCCCCTCACATTTTTTTACCCGGCAATGGCAAATATTGAAAGTGCGGGGAAACTTCCGACAGTTGAAAGACGCTTGGATCGGAATATCTGCGACAAGTAATGGAAAGAGTAAACTTAAACTGGAAATTAAACGGTCTGCCCGGGTCTGGGTGCCCGAGATAAAGCCCATGACTTATGTTGACTGCTTATTATTAGCTCCCCATCTTTTGGAGGAAAATGAAACAATATCGAAAAAGTAGAATTTGTTGTCCATTGCCTTGTGATAAATTGCGTTGTTTTGTTTATTCTTTTTGTGCGAAGGTCGCTTCATGGTGACACATTGACTGTCGGTGATTTGGCTCTCTGGGACTTCATCCCTTAGCGACAATGCTTCTGTAAGAGGCAACTAGCAGTGATATCTTGTCGCTGCAGATGTTGGCAATGGCATTGATTAATGAAAATAGCGGCATCCTGCAATCAATGCCTGCCGGCATTCCGTCTTACCATACAACTCGGGCATTCAACCGGCAAATAATAGAGATAACTCTGCGGAAATTGCCACTGTCTTTCTCTTTCTTGGGAGAACAGTGCTTCACCTAATGTTAGGGTGAGGGAATCAGCAGAAATCGTACAGAAGTATACAGAACTATACGGCAAGAATATATTTCAAGTAGATTCCACTGCAGTATATAGAGGCTTCACATTTATTTTCCCGATCTTGTCACAGCAAAACGTCCGACTATACTTCTTATACCAGGTAATTCTACGTTTTTACCACCCAACGAGTTTTCTAGATTGCGTATGGTAAAAACTTCGATAGACTCATTAGTTAAAAAGTTCAGGTACGTGTACTTGCCATATAGCCACATCGCACCATAGCAAGCTGTTTGTGTAACATCGAGCAGTCTTTGTTTTTAATTTTCCTGGCAAAACATTTAATTATTGTGTTGAAAATATCTGTAACTGTATATTCGGTATAATCGCCCTTTGGCGTAGCACACCAGCTGTCACAGCAA